CATTTAACGTTCACGTGTGTTTCCTCACACTTTCTTTGTGATTGTACCTCTCGGCCCCAGTTTACTTACCCCTTTGTCAGGGACCTCCCTTCCTGCCCTGTCAGGTCAGAGCAGATTTCACTTTAATGAGCTGCCGTAGGATGTTGCCCGCCGTTATTAAATCACCTGTATCTGTAAGGATGGACACACATGCCTCTGTCAACAGGGAAATGGCGTTTCCTCTGCCTGAAAATTCATCACAGCCCCCTCCAGCCCACATTCCCGCCTTTACTCATCAAAGTCTTGTTGTGAAAAGTTGGCCCTGACTTCCCAGGCTGGGCTAGGTGACTGTCCTCCGTGCTGCTATGGTAATGAAGCATCTTCTGTAAAGAAAGTCAGATCACACACTCCGCTCAAGATCTTCCAAAGGCTCCCTGCTTCACTCAGAATAAGCCTCGGAGCCCTCGCAATGCCCTGCCCTCTCCTTATCGCTCTGGCTCCAGCCCTCGCTGCTCCCCCTTTCCTTCCCCAAGCCCAGGCGCACGTGCTGCCCCTTCAGGGCCATGCAGTAGCTTTCCCGAGAAACCACACAACTAACTTCCTTGGCTCCTTCTATCTTTTGCAGAAATGTCCCCTTATCAACGAGGCCTACGAACTGCCCTATTTCGACTTGCAATTTGTACCACTCCTCTCCACCTGCACCCTCCAATCCTTATTTTGTTCCATTTTTATAGCACTTATTCCATCCGATTAAATGATATAATTTACTTATTATTTTCATAATGTCTGTCTCTCCTTATTAAAATGTAAGCTCCACAGAAGTGGATATTTTTCTCTGTTGTGTTCATTCAAGTTTTCTAAGTGCCTTCACTGGTGACTACAATATAATAGGTGCTCAGTAAATGTTTTGGAACCAATGAGCCCTGATTGTACTGTATTAATATTTTCTTCCTTGCCCACCTGCCCACCACCAAATTATGAACCCTGCGAATGAAGGCAGTTTTGCTATTATGTCTGTTTACAATATCTAGCACATTTCCTGAAAATAGTGGGTTTTTGATAAATGCTTGCCAAGTGGGTGTATTCTTCTCTGGCCTCCCCAACACACAGCTTTGCAGAGTTTGCAATCACACCACGCCCAACCGAAAGGCAAGTGCCAGAGTGTTTTCCTAGTGGAGAGGCTTTCCTCTCAACTCAAACAGCTTCTGTGGTCTCCAGAAACACAGAGACCGGTGTAGACCAAAGTGCTGATTGTTTCTCCTGCAGAGTCTCTGCTGAGGTTAAGAATTTACCTTTGTCCATTGGCCTTTTCTCTCCATTCTATAATGGGGCATTTACTTTAACAAGGTAGAAGCGAAAAGGAAGCCTGGGGATCGTGAGCTTGACACAGTGTCCTTCCCCCTGTGACTCTCTCTCTCCTTCCCAGGGCTCTCCCAGCCATGATGCAGTGGGTCAGCACGCAGAAGCCAGGAGAGAGCGGCATCAACATCGTCACTGCCGATTTTGTAGAACTTGGCGATTTCATCAGCACTGTCATAAAGCTCAACTATGTCTTCGATGAAGGAGAAGCCAACACTTGATGTACCACCTTGAGCATCCCTGAAAAGAGAGAGAAGACTCATCGTATTAGGCATATTATCTAGAAACACTCTGATCTTCCTATGCCACTGAGTCTCTGAGGGAATTAGGGCTGGGAGTGGGTGGGAAAAGGGGGAACCCATTTCTTGAGTGATGATTATCATAGTCTGCATTAGTATAAATACTTCATTTCCCATTTGATGAGCAAAATCTACTTCTAGTGTTAGAGATTTAAAAAAAAAAAGACCAGTGAGTTTTGTTTTTCAGAATTAGTCTTTGTAACGTATAACTCACGCGTGTTTACTTGATTGTGTTTCTGATTTCCACCTAGATCTCCTACGCTCTCTGTATCCTCAAATTGAACCTCTCTGCTCCCGCCGCTCGCTCCTCTTAATCAGATGCTGTATGGGACTCAAAACGGTTGACTGTCCCAACGGAATGTGTATAACATTGTACTAAAATTTATTTGTTGTGTGGGACTTGCTGTAATATTCTGTTGTCATCTGCAATTGGTCGATCATTGCCAACATTTGGTCATAGAAAATATGCATTGAATCAGTTTCCCTGCATCAGTAATATTGGAGGCCATAATCAGTGATTTGTGTGTTATACGAAATTAATAGTGTTTCACAGTATTTCTATTTAAGGCAGCTATAAATAAGAGTAAACAATTCTTTGCAAGAACTATTTGTGCCAACTCTAAATAGGGGGACTGGGAAGAGATGGTTGCTACTTTAATTCAAGAATTTCTTAATGATATTGCCCTGCAAATGCCCAGTAAGTGAAAAATTATGTATGAAGAGTGTGCTAAAAATCAAAGAACTCTTCAAGGACTCTTACAAACGCTCTCCTAACAACTCTTGATTTTTAAAAAAGGGGGGAAGAAAGGGAAGAAGAAAGGAATGGAAGATTGCGCAAGCTTTCCTATCAGATTGGGATTTCCAAATACATGATTCTAAACCCCCAGTTTTGAGGAACAGATTGCAAGAAGCTTTAACTCGAGTTTTTTACTTGAAGTTAAAGAAGGAGGAAAGGTGGCAGGAGTCAGAGCAATGCTTTCGAAGCTATGTCCATGAAATGCCAAGAGTCCATGAACCATCTTTAACAGGTTCTCAAATGCGTGTGACCTGAGCAGACCTGCTGGAAACAGGCGCTGACTTGCCCTCTCGGTCCCATCCTACCCGAGGGTCGAGGGTAAGGCAGAGGCGAAGGTTCCTGTGGCCCAGGGGACTGTGCAGGTCCACAGGGGAGAAACACAGCAAGGCCACTGTGAGCACGGCTTCCCCCCCACCATCTCTGTGACCCTGATGACAGTAAACGACCTCAGGCAAGCACAGCGCCCTTTACCTGTGTGCCTCACAGGAATATTGTGAGGCATTCATAAAATTTATAAAATTTCCTGAAATTCTTACGATTATTAATTATTTTATCTTCATGTTTAGAAGTAATCACGCCTCAATAGCTTCCTGGGAAAACACAGTCCATGGAAAGTAGGGCCATAGAGAAATAAAAGCATGTCCTCAGCTTTCAATTAATCTAAGTGCAAGACATGTGGTTAAGTCCCTTAGACCTGGTAAGGGAGTTGATTCCAAGATTATGTGTGTCAGGATTACAAATAATTAAGAGTCAATGACAATATTATAAATACTCATCACCGGAAAATAGGATTTCTGAGCAATGGCAGGAAAGAAAAACTGCTTCTCCTGAAGACAATGTTCATGAGAAGTGTAGAAGTAGGCGTGGGAGACTAGCAGGCACAGCCCCACGACAGTGCGTTCCACAGGCCAGCTGTGTGCATGTGGCCCCCTGGTACCATCTCCATGCGTAGCCGCCCCTGTGCAGTCAGAGGCTCAAATGCACACACGCAGACTCCAACGGACACGGCCAGATTCTCCTTCGCAAGTGAAAACATTGATAATAGAATGATTTAATTTAAGACTGTGAAATCCTTAACAGTGGATGAAAAAGAGTGATAAGACCCTTGAGAGCAGAGTAGCCGGTCTAGTAAAGATAGTCCAGCTCGGGACTCAATTATTTGCAAACACAGTTTTCTTTCCGCTTTGCGGTTCTGTTGTCTTTCTGTGTCTTTCACCTGCTCTCTGTGGGACTGAGTGTGAATTCTTTGAAAGGACTATGGATTACGGACATCTATGTCCTGCAGGCTTGCTTGGGGGCAGGTTTTCTCGCTCACTATTTATTATTCACCCCTCAGGAGGGTCTCTGGCCAAGCGCACTTGAAATGACGTGAGGATTTAACTTATAAATATGACAGGAAACATCTTTCAATATATTCATGAAAAATGAATAAAATGTAGAGGTAACTATGTTGTATTTTCTTGAACCTAGATGCTTTCTAAAGTTGGCCTACACTTAGCTTTGCTGTATTTGTCATTTCGGTGCTGGAAAAAACATGCTGAAGGATTAGAGTAACCGCGCAATTTCTTAGCTGGAGTAAGTTTTCTATTGCTACTGATGACACGCATGCAGAAACCTTGTTGGACAAAAGGTACCTTCGAGCCAATGTTCTTGCCTCCACGTGGACACACAGTACCCATGGCAGGCAGCAGGCACCGAGAGGAGAGGGACTTGCCTTAATTTCTAAAGGAGGGAGCAGGGGGAGGTGAACTGTGGGTCCTCGCTGGGGAGAGTTCACTAGGAGGGTCCCTTTGAAAGGGGCAGAGAGAGAAGGTGCCTCTGGCTGTCTCTTTATTTTTCCTGCCCCGAGCACTTAGGGAGCAGGGAGGGCCTTCAGTTGGGAGGTGGGGAGAGGGCGTGATCTGCAGCCAGAGCTTCCCCTCAGCCTGTGCTTCCCCGTCCTAGCTGGGCCCTGCCCTCCAGATGGGCGCGGGGTAAAGGGCTGCAGATGGGCCCCAAGCCGGCAGGACACACATCCTGGTGCACCTTTTGTTCTGCTTGTCTCTTAAGACTTCATGTCACAAATTCTGCAAGGCCAAAAGCAGAAACAGATCCGGCTTTTACCCAGTCTGCAGCGGGAGAGGGGAGCGGCGGGCGAGGGAAAATATGCAGTGAGCGTCGGGCTGGGTTTGCCCCGCTGTGTAATTCCGAAGGGCCGGCCGGAACGCTCCCGCCATTGCCCCTGTGTCTCCCTCTCCCCACCCAGCCCTGTGAGCGCAGAGGGCGAGGGGCGTCTGCGAAGCCTTCGGACGTCCCGTATATGACCTCAGCCTTCACTTTCAGCCACATGGGGGAAGTCACTTTCCATGAAGTGCCACCTAACAGTGAATGTATTAGAGCATGAAGATTTGGCATGTATGCGCCTATGTGTCTGCACACGTGCACACACACACACACACACACACACACACACACACACACACACACACTATTCCAGATGAAGCTGTACTCTAATTGCTCAACCTATTCTGTTGCCATTTTAACTCTTAAAGTCAATATCTCCTACACGAGNTATTCCAGGTGAAGCTGTACTCTAATCGCTCAACCTATTCTGTTGCCATTTTAACTCTTAAAGTCAATATCTCCTACATGAGTAGGCATAAACATAACTCAAATATTTAAATATTTAAGAGGAGAAGAATCACAAGGAAGCCAATGAAAACTGAGATGATCATACATAAGAAATGCCTGGCGGCCCCAGTCTAACGACGTTGTCACACTTCAAGCTGGAGAACTGAACATGGATTTGCACATAAATGACCAACCAACCAACCCTCATCTTCACTTAAAGTTGTTCTAAGTTCTTTGAGGTTCAGACTTATTTTGGCCAGGGTTACCTGGTAGGATTTTAGACAGGAAAGTTGGAAGCCTCGGGAAAAGCATGATTTCACGAGTTTTTTAGTTTTGCGGGCCCAATGACGCCGCCTTCTAACCTCTGGTCGCTCATCCCAACGAGAGCTCCGTCGGCAGAGTGCTTGCCCTTTGAACTGCCCACAGAAAATGATGCATAGTGCCTCTCAGGATATGCTAAACGAGGTTTGGAAAAGTGTTTTATTTTACAGCATTTTGGTCTTTCCAACTAGATTTCAGTGACACAATGGTGTAAATGCTATAATTGCCATAACTTATTGGTGGCTCCTGTGTTACAGTTTTAAATAATACTCTGAATTGTTTGTTTCCCCAATGACAACGATGAAATGTTCTGTAGAATTTGTAAAATGTGTTGATTGAGTCTGTTGATAATTGTGTCATGTTTATTTCGTTGGTGAGGCTATTTTTAGGTACTAGTTCTAAATATATATTTGTATGAGTCAGCAGTAGTTGCTTGTGTGTGGTGTGTGTGTAAGCATATTGTATCTTATAAAAAAGTCAAACTTATCCTAAAAAAAAGAGCACGTTATGACCAGCCTTAATTCATTGCCATTGTATTTCTTGTTGCAATTTGGGATTAAAATTTAAAGAGAAATTATGCCTTTGTTAAAAATGGCTTTTTAAAAAATCATGCAGGGAAAGTACTTTAGAACTTACCTGAGTTCCCACAGACCACAAACAGAAGTTCAGCTTGAGAAGCTCCTGTGCGTCTCAAGAGTTGCAGAAGGATAATAAAATAATAAATTAATGCCTTTGCCGATTAATGTATTAAATCCATAATCACACAATGAGACTAAATTCCCCTTTGTTTCTATCACCAACAGAACCAGTTCCCCTGTAAAGCTGTTCTTCCAAACACGGAGCCCATCTTGTTTATAAGGAGAAGTTTTCCATGAAAAATTGTTTCCCCAAAGCATTACTCTTTAAAAACTCTTTAGGAAACTCATGGCTGGTTCGAGGACCTGCACAGGTTCTCATGCTCAAAGCAAACACTTTGTAATCTTCCTTGGGCCTGGGCTCTAGGTATGGAATATTAACCTTCTGATTTCCTCTCTTTCTCCATCCTCAATTACTTTTTTCTATATTTGGGGTTGCCAGATAAAATACAGAACACCCAGGAAAATTCAGGTTTCAGATAAACAATAACTTTTTCAGTATAAGAATTTCCCATATATTTCATGACACATACTACAAACTGATTCATTGTTTATCCGAAATTGAAATTTAACTGGGTATCCTGTAATTATTTTTCATTTCCTGGCAGGGCTGCCTAAAAGGGGTGCAATCCCACCCCTTCCCTACCCCCAGACTAAGATAAGATGCCTCAGAAAAAGCCATAGTCCTAATACCCTCCTTTAAGGAAAAGGTTGATTCAAGTCCCACAAATGCTTTCTGAAGGACCAACTTGCATATAGATGGAATTATCAAGAAAGTACCGTTATAAGATTAATGCCACCACATTTAAAATGCCCCTTCACTGGCCATTGTGAGGTGCGGAGTGTCCCCCATTGCTCCCTTATGTAACATTCCCCAGGAATTGTGATAACCAGAAAAAAACCACCCACACAAGAAAAACGCCTCTAAAAGTGGTATCACCGTCTAACTCGGTACCAGGGCCTCTGAAAATTCAATCTCTCTCTCTCTCTTTAGAGAGAAAGGTAACACACTGATCCATTACTTGCCTCATTGTCACCTCACCTCGGATTATTTTTATCCGATTAGAACTGGCCCTGGGTGGAACTGTAGAGACGCTGGGTGGAAAGGACCTTCCCGGCTGCGGGAAGAGAGGGGCCTGCGGGTAGACGCGGCCCTGCTGGCGCCTCCGCAGGAGGCTGGGCGGGGGGGGGCCAGCAGGCCGGGGGCCAGGACAAGGACGTTAGCACGTGACAGAGACACTTGCCAAAGCGCATGATAACAACTAGCACTTTTTCCGAGGACCTGGAAACCTAGGACACCCCAGAGTAAGAACAGGGAGGCCTGAGGCCCGTTTCCCGAGCAGTTTGCGGGGAAGCAAGCCTCGGCGGAACCCCGAAAGCGGAGCCTCCAGCTGCTGCCTCCAACAGCAAGCCCTTGCCTGGTCTGAAAGGGGGCGGAGTGCGGAGCGCTTTTGGTGCCCAGGCGTCTCTGGAAACCCCCAGAAGGGGTAAGGAAATGCCAACCCCGCAACCAGCGCTCCCCCCACCCGCACGGCCTGTGCTGCGGGCCCTCGCCTCTGACGGTGGGGACCCGCCGGGCCGGCCCCGTTCCCTTCCCCAGACACCAGGAGCTCACGGGGACAGGCCGGTGCCCCCTCTTTTTAGGATCTGGTCACTGATACTTTAATAAACGTGCTGTAAAGAGGATACATGCCGACAATTCTGTTTAGCAAATGTGAATTTTTAAAAATAAGATTGTGCTCTTCTTGTAAGAAAAAGTTTCTTTGCATCCAGTGAAATGCCTAATGAAGTCCCGGCACCAGTTATCT